TGACCCCCTCACCATCAGCATCGATGTCACCCATGCCTCACCATATCCCTGAAGCTCTATCTCGCCCTTGGCGTCACATCAGAGGTGCATCCTAACTCTAACCATAATACTATCCTCCCAGTGCACCTTAATGAACACCTAACCCTAACCCTACCCCTGGCCCCTGCATCTGACCCTTCACCATCACCATCGATGTCACCCATGCTTCACCGTAAATCTGAAGTTCAATCTCGCCCTCACCCTCACATCATAGCCAGACCCTAACTCTAACTGTAAACCTATCCTCCCTGTACACCTTACCAAACACCAGTGGATTAGAGAGCCTAGCGTCCCAGGATCTATCACAGAGTTCTCAGTGTTCCCAGACCTGTAAATCTATTCCTGTTTCGGATGTCTCCAGCAACAGGATGGAGGACTGAAAGACTAATCCTGTGGAATGCGTTAGAGAGCCCAGTGTCCTAGGCTCTACTCCAGAGTTCCTGGCACAGCTGGATGCCCAGGACTTTAACGCATCCTGCCTCAGATGTCTCCAGGTGGGATATGAAGTACTAGCCTTGTGTCTTCCTAGTGAAGGGTTAAAGGGGGCTTACCATGATCTGAGATGATCCTAAGAGCTGGAGACAGTGAAAATCAAGGCTGGCTGGTCTTTGTGGGAGCCAGAAGGTGGCTCAAGCAAACGGAAACTGGAAAGGAGATAGTGTCAGGCAGCAAAAAAACTATTTGGGAGATGGCCAGGGGTTGGACTTGGGTGTGATTTACTGTGTGCTTGGTTGCATAGACGTTGTCTTGTGGGTGGTGGGGAGCCTAATGCTCTGGCCTGATCTTCAACCACCTTATCCTGTCACAGGAGTGAGTCTTCTAGTGACGGCCTGCCCTAGTGTCATTTTAGTGTGGCCAATCCATGCCCGCTTTTGGCCAGAATGGCTGTCCAACAGAAAATGAAAGTAAGAGTGACTTACCACTGCTTTATCTGAGTCACAGCACCAAAATATGGTAGGAAGGACAGGACTCAGCTCAGTATCACAGGGAAGTCAGATATAGTGAGAAAAAAACCAAAGTCAAGAAAGCAAAGTAAGTTTTAATACACTCTGCATAGAGTAGCAGAGTGGCCCTGCCTAAGGTAAGACAGGCAGGAGTGGATGCTCATTCTGAGGCTTCTTTTATGTGGTTTTACCAGGACCGAGAGGGCTTGATTGACAGCTGTCAGCTCTCTAGGCTGGTTCTGATTGGTGAAATGGGGACAGGAGCTGTGCTGTGCCTGTGCCTCTGATGTTTCTAGTCTGGGGAGACCCTGGACATTTTCTGGGTCACTCTTGGCCCTGTGGCTTCATCTGATTAATTCTCTGAGTCATTTTTGGCTCTCTGGTTCTATCTGATCAACTCCCTGAGTCATCTTTGGGGAACCCTTTCTCCTTTTCATCCTGCTTACTTCTGTCTTTCTTCCTAACACAGCCATCCTGCATTCTGCCTGTGTACCATTTCCAGACTCATCCTTTTTGCCTAAAGCTTAATACATATGGACATAGAGTTATCATTAAAACAAAAACAGAAACTTCTGTGACTTCTTGCTAGCCTTGGCACTCACAGAGTCCCCTGCCTTACTTCCAATGCTCTCCATAAGCAGGTCCCAATCTCCCTGCTTCCAAATACATGCCTGCTTCTCAAATACAAGACATACTGCCATTCTCCTGCCTTGCTTGTGATAATGGCAAAGGGCTCTCAGCACAGAAAGACTCCGTCCAAACCCTTGCACTGAGGCTTGACCAAGCAGAGCATAGCGGCTGGAAGCCTAAGGCTGCATTTCTGGCTAACCCAGCTCCCTTTTGAGCTTCTGTCTGGAAAAGGTCAAGGAATTTGTTTTTGTTCTATCAACACCTGAAGATAGGCCTCCACCTCCCTTTCTTAGAGCATATATAATAAAGGGCTTATGATTGTAAATCCTTCCTCTGTTTTTTGAGATGTATATGTTTGTCTCCCCTACAACTAAGGAGACAAGAACCGGAAATCCATTCTTTTGAAGTGCAGTCATCAGGAAGGAGAGGGCCCTGTCTCCCAGTCTCTTAGAGGATGGAATCCTAACTGTGATTGCCAGGTAGCAGACACAGCTGTCCTCCCATTACTGACCCTCCCTTTGTAAACTCTCCCTCCCCTGACTCCACTTGAGCCTGGCTTGCTGCCCCTCCCTGCCACTCATTCTCCCTTTAAAGCACCCAGTCAGCTCTACACAAACCTGAATGGAGCTCAGCCCTTTCCCCACAGTCAGCAGTTACTCAACAAAGTCTGTTTCTGCCCGTAGCTAATGTCTCACCTTATCTTTCACACCTCAAACAAAGGTTGCTCCTCCTTCTGCAACCACCTAAATCCTGTTGATCCTCAGACTCTTCTGAAATCCTGTGTCTTATCCAGCCATCACGATCTCTGCTCCTGGGGACACCCCTCTTGGACCTGCCTTTGGTATCACCCAAGTTAAGATTGACTGACTTGTCGTCTGTCCCTTACTGTGGATGTGACTTTTTTTCTGCAATTTAGCCTTGACTCCAACTGATTGACCCCAATCTTTGAGGATGAAGACACTATTACTTCATTATTTTCCATTGTACCTAGTATAAGTACTTACATAGAGAGTACTTACTTAGAGGATGAATTGAAATACTGGAAACTGTGGTAGTTTAATGTAAATTAAAACGCAGGCCTTGTCATCTTGGTTACAATTTCAACAAATGTAGTTGGTTTTGCATATATTTTAGGATCACAAAAGTAAACTCATCAAAAAATGAGTTATTAGCAGGGGTGAGATAGAATGAATGAGTGGGACTGATGGTGAACCAGTTTTGTCCAGAAAAGGTTAAAGAATTCTCTTGTGAAGATTATTTTTTGAGTAATTGTGAAGCACAGCTCCCAGCCTTGGGTTGGGGTCTGCCACCTCTTCCCAATACTCCTTTACTTATTCCTCCTGGCCATTTCCCCCTTATAAAAAAGAGGATATAAATCTATCTCCAGTCAAAACACAGACAAACCCAAGTTACATTCCAGCTACTTGCTTATTTCCCCCACAGCAGTTCGTTGTCCCGCTCCTCTGGTGCTCTTTCCCGCTCCCTTTCCTGGTGCATTACGGGGGTCACTCGGTATAAGACCCAGCATTTTCCCTCTCCAGATCGTGGCACTTTGAATACAGGAACGAGATGTGCCTCAGAGAAGCCTTGACTCTGTGCCAACCAGGAGAGTGGGCGCCGGTTGCCTATGTGTGGCTCCAGCAGCAAAGCCAGAGCTGGGGGTGAACATTTAGTTGGGATGAATTTAGATCATGGAGGTGCTCTTGCTGGTGTGTGGGGAGGCCACCTATTGACTATGTTTACTTTGGAGGAGTTTGGTGTTCTTTTGTTATAAAGAAGAAGTTGGGTGCCGTGAACAAGAGTAGTTCACCTTTCCTGATCTTCCCCTTATCACATCAGTACTGTCATGGGGGTTCACTATGATTGGTGTAAACAGTGGCTAAATGAGCTGTGGGGATGTGAGGTTTTGGTTTTTAAACTTCCTAATGACATTGAACCGAGGGAGGTGACTAGCTGTTCCTATTTGCCCAGGACTGTTATTACTGAATGCCTTGTATCCCAGGAAGCCCCTGCCCCAGTACACGGAAAGTCCCAGTTTGAGGTAATAAGTGCTGAAGGTTGGGGAAAAGCATAAATCCACATGTAGCCCCCCCAAATATATTGAAAGCAATATAGTTTTAGTGTCAAATGGATATTACATAAATTATCTGTCTCCCAGAATTGCTGTTACTGATGTTGGCAATCATTATTTGCTTCACAATAATTGATTGTCCATATGTGCACTATTTGCACTAAGGGATGCAACTGAAGTGTACAACCTAAGTGTGTTCTAAGTGTCAATGTTAATAGTCTATCTTTGTCTTGGCCTATGGATTGACTATTGTGATTCGTGTGGAGATAGGGCTATGAATATTGTGACAATATTTCCTAAGAATTCAGATAGTGAAAATGAAAACAATGGCCATATCAAAGCCAGCATGACATAGACATTACTGTAAAAGGTTAAATGACTGTATTATTTTAATGACAGATAGGACACATACAATTGGATTAAGGAATTTAATAACCAAAACAGTACATTCTACACAATAGACAAAAAAAGAATTTGGGATTGATCGTTGCTATGGTTTGAATGTTTGTCCCCCTTAAATTCCTCTGTTGAAATCCCAATGCCAGTGTGATGGTATTGGTAGGTGGTGGCCTTAGAGGTGTTTAGGTCATAAGGGTAGAGTCCTCCTGAATGGGATTAGTACTCTTAAGAGGCCCAAGAGAGTTGCCTTCCCCTTCCACCAAGTGAGAATACAGGAAGTCTTTGACCAGGAACTGGGCCCTCACCCAACCATGCTGGCAACCCAATGTCAGACTTCAGCCTGGAGAATCTCTCCACCATGTTTTCTATGTGACACCAGTTAAAACAACTGGTGGAATATTCACTGCCTGTCAGTGTGGTTCTTTTGACAAATTACAAACTGGTCAACAAAGATTGATAATTTGTGAGTAGGAAAAAACAAGGATCATACTCAATGTCAACCTTCCTGTAAAAAGACGTATTATAGCACCTACAGATTATTGTTATGGAACAAAAACTTTACTGATCAGTTAATTTTAGGAAACCTTCCTGTTAAGTAGCTACTTTGTATATACCAGGAAATGTTTACCATATGAGAAAAGGGAGAAATCCTACATTCTAATGCTTCCTTTTTTCAGAGGCAGAGAATGCTCAGCAGATGGTGCCAATAAACTCCTGCAACTGGCAGTCTTTGTGCCACTGCCAAGCAGCAGCAAACTGGGACTATGAAAGCTTTTTATGAAAAGCCACATTGGTTGTATCCTTTGTGTGCAATTTTCTAACTAGAATATTTACTATAGAGTGCTATTTTATTTTCTTCCTTGGAAAAATATGCAGTTATGGCAAAAAGTACAATTCTTTAAGGAATAAGGACCAACTTTAAAAGAAAAATATACTTTATTGTAATTTATTAAACATTCAACATAAAATATGGCAATTTTTCTGGTATTTAACCCTAGGATATGACTGTGGCTGGTGCTTAGCAAAAGGCTCCAGTTCACAATTACCACTAATAAAATGCTTTACTGAATAAAAACACAACACCAAAGAAAATGAATTCGAATATCTTCTTTAAAAAAATCATCTTAAAGTTTGTTCTATTCAGTCTAATGGCTAGCACAATAAAAGCAGATACACTAGTTTAATATAACTGGCTGCATTTATACAGTACATATCTTTCAGTCCACAAGTATATCATTAAATGATAAGAGAACACTCAGTATATCCATTTTTACAGAACTAGGAAATAAATTTTTAAGTAAGATTTTTACAACCCCATCTTTCATAGCCAAACCCCAACATTCAAAGTCTAAAGAGGATAAAGCCAATGATTTATTTTCCTCACAATAGCTCACAGCTAAAGTCACTTCACTATCAAAATCTTTATTTCTGATCTGTTATGAGCATTGAGACAAGCTTCTAATATTCCCAAAGAAGGAAGCACGATGCACTTTTTGTTGCCTATTCAAGCAACAGTGAGCACTGCATTCAAAACTATCTCATCCCAGGAATTAAATAAGGTCAGCCACATTCACTGGCATTTCCTCCATTGCAGTTTGTAGAAGGCCTCAGTGTCACAGCTGTAGTTTGCAGGTCTTGGTGTCACAAAGAATCCTCTCATCTCCTTCAATGTTTAAGGCCACAGCTTTCCTCCCAAATTGATTCCCTGTGCCATTTATAAACAAAAGAAAAATTATATTTATCAGAATATTACTTATCAATACTACATAAACTACTAATAATATGAGCTACTTGTTTGCCATGATTATACACAGAATGCTTCTATTTCAAGCATTACATGCTAACCATAATATCTAGAAAAAAAAGAAAAGGTTTTTTTGTAGTTAGTGCAAAAGAATTTTGTCTGGCTGTAAAATAAGATTCTATCAGGCATTGTAAGCATTATTTACAAAGCAGATGACAGTATTGTTTGTGGTAGTGAATTAAGGTCCATATCAAAAAGGGTCAGCCAAAAGGAGGTGTCAGCCTGGGACAGATATAAACACCAGGGATAAAACAAAAAGAACAGTTACTGAAGAACAGTTATTGTAGGTAAAATTGTAACATTTCCAGAATATCTCACGTGGCTTTAGTGCATTTTCATATTCTCAGGGGTGGAGAGAACTTCATCTCTGTATCAGTGGGTAATTACCTGGGCAACTGAGGGCGTGTATGAACTGAGAGTTTAATGGGAGGGGCTGGCTTGCTTGCTTGCTTCAGAAGCAGAGGAAAGAGACGGCCCTGGACTGCAGTTTGTAAGCAATAAATGGGTTTTAAATTTTATTTCTCCCTTTGACTGATTTCAGTTTTTAGAGGTATTTTGCCCTGGGATTTCCTCTCCCCAGACTTACAGTTACATAATCCATTTTGAAACACTTTTGGAATTATAAATTGCAAATATAAACTCTGGAATGTTAACACTGTTTAGGACTATGCTGTCCAATACAGTAGCCCATCACATGTAGTTATTAAAATTAAAATTAAACACAATAGAAAACACAGTTCCTAAGTTGCATAAACCATATTTCAATAGCAATATGTGGCTGTCACTACTGCGTTGTGCAGTGTAGACATAGAACATTTCCATCTCTGCAGAAAGTTGTATTAGACTTTGTCCAAGACTTAAAACTTTTTCCAGTAGTGAAGGAAAACCTCCAAAAATTGTTACGGTAACCCATATTTATCACAGCTTTCTGCTCAGCTCACCTCATATACTGTACCACAAATGACTGAGGATATTTACCACCACAGCTCTCTACCAAAATAGATAATACAACCAATCAAAAATGTCTTGGCTGGAGCAATTTTAAATATCAAATAACAAGGACAAGAGGAAAAACAAATATGGAAATACTGACTCACTCTTCATCTGAACGACATGCTGTTTCACTCATAAAACTATGTCCTAAATCAGGTCAGTGCTATTTTTGAGCACTATCTTGTCATCTATTCTAATCAGCTAGTACATATTTTTTAACAAAGTTATTTTTACATTAGTAGCAAGACATAATTCAACTTATTTAGTGATCAAGCCACTATTCCTAAAGTAGGGTCAGTATAAACTGCTACCAGAAAATACTGACAAAATCCCAATGATAAAGGAATCACCAAACAAACATGACATATGAGCAACATGACTACAACAACTCATGTTTAGGCCAAGACAACTAGATTGAACAGCATTATTGATTTTTCCTTTGAATATCAACTGTATAAAATCCAAAACCTCAGCTACATTCACATTTGCTTTACTGTGTTCTGATCAACCAGAAGTCTTCTCAAGCAGAATTTAAATACATCTTATCATGTTACTAGGTGGTAAGATTATTTTCCTGATTCATTTACCGGTTTTCAAAGTTGTCTGGTTGATAAAAGTCATACTTGAAAAGCAATATATTAATTTATCTCACCAGAATAAAAGTAAGCATTCAATGAAGATGACAAATACTCAACTAAGAATACAGTTTTCATAAGTAGTGGGCAGCTCATAGTTTTTAACCATAAATATTAGCTACATGTAAAAACTCGCGAGCCTGAGATATGACAGTATATATTCAAATTCTGATTCAAAAATCACACTCTTCTAGGCCACAAAATAGTAATGAATTACATACAAATCACATAGCTCATCGTGGAGTGTGGTTTTTATTCCACTGGAGCTGGAGCTCACAATGACTACTAAAAGTCTGCCCTGTAAATCAACTTTTGGTAGATAAATGTTATAACTAAATAAGGAATTGAAATACCAATAAATTGGTAATAATCAAAATGCAGTTTATTCCTTTGAATGCCCTCATGATAATGTCTTTTTCTGTCACCACCTGCAAAATATTAACAAGCCTTACTTTTAAGAGTCATTTGTAAAGTCAATGTTTACACTGGTAAGTATGTATGATGAGACCATGCATCCCTGGCTGCCTCAGTACAATTGCACACAGGGCTAGAAAGGTAACAGTTTTATTTTGAGCAGGAGACAAAGACAACACAGCACTTCACAGATGCATTGTAACCAGACCCTGCAATTAGTTTAAGAAAATAATAAGATATTAACAGTATCTTAGTTAATCATAGTAGGGGAAAGCTGCTCTTATCACACTAGAAACTGAAATTTCTGGCATGTATTTTCTTAGAAGCCACTCTACCCTATGTCTTGTGCTCTGAAACAGAACAGCCTGTGCACTGGTTGTGCTCTCATGTCACAAAGATCATACAATTTCTTTCCCTTCAGTTATCTCAGAGAGGAAAATGTTAATTCCTATCAGATTTGATATAAAAAGCTGTTTGATTTCTAACTCTTGTTCCTACTATTGGAAGGGACTAGTTATTCACTCTATTACTTCTGTTTAAATATAGATATTATTGTACCAAATCTTAGAACAAAGTACCCTGGACTTAGAGGTGCATCTCAGTTTTTCCACTCTCTGGCACACTTCTTTTTCTTCTTGTGTTTACTCTGCTAGCTTTTTTACAAACACCATGACATGATACTAGTTTCTGCAATTTTAGCACAGAACTTAAATTAGAAGGTTAAAAAACTCCTGGCTGTAATTTTTACATATCAATTAGAAAAACATTACCTTCTCCCAAAATTATTACAAAATATTGACCCTTTCAATGGTCAATTCTTCCTTTTTCACCAGAGTTTGAAATCATCTCTCGTGAACTTTTTGATGACTTCCACCATATCAACTGACATTAAGGCAGAGAGCAACACCACCCTAAAAAAGACAACTGTGTTGACATCTCAATTAAATAGACGTAACAGTTTTCGTAATAATACACAGAGAAATAATGTTTGAGACCAAGCGTCCCTGTCTTACTATGGAATGAAGCTAGACAGAGATTGTAGGAAACAATTGCTTTCAGCAGGGGAAAGGACAATATAGCACTTCACAGCTATACTGTAACATTTAACCCAACCCGCCAGCTACAGAAAGATCGCGCACTTTTCAATACTTGCATTTAATTTCTGGTAAATTCCAAGGATTTGACCTTTAATCCCTTAGCTCAACACTTTTATCTGCTTCATCCAAAACAAGCATCTTGATCCACTTTGGAAAGTTAAAAAAAAAGTCTTATTTAAGTGTGGGTTGTGTATTGAACTTCCTTCCAACACTACAGTATGGAATGGGTGGGGTGTAAGACTAACTTTATGTGGACAAATTTGACAAACATGACCTCAGCCAGGTGATCAAGGTCAACAACAACAGAGATAACCCTAGATACAATGAGATGAAAATGGCACTTTACCTCTGTGGTCTTCCTCTCAAAAAACCCCCATAATCCCAGTCTAATCTTGAGAAAAACATCCGACAGATTCCAGTACAAGGAAATCCTAATAAATATCTGACCAACACTCCTCAAAACTGTCAGGGTCATCAAAATCAAGGAAAATTTGAGAGTCTGTCACAGCCAAGAAGAACTTAAGAAGACATGATAGGTAAATGTAATGTGGTATCCTGAGTGGAGCCCTGCAACAGAAAAAAGACATTAGGTAAAAACTAAGGAAATTAGAATAAATTCTGGACTTCAGTTCATAATAATGTATTCAAGGGTGTTAATTAATATTATCAAATGTACCTTAGTAATGTAAGATGTTAATAATATGGGAAACTGGGTACAAGGTATATGGGAACTTTCTGAATTATCTTCTCAAGTTTTCTGCAAAACAAAAACTGTCCTAAAATATAAAGTCTATTAAAGAAAAGTCTATCACTTCTAGATAGATACTCATGTGTGGCAACTACTTAAGCAAGTAGGCTAATTATTTTCCCTCCTTTACCCAAAATACCATATAAAAAATGCCCTAGGTAAAATATGGCAATACTTACAAAGACATTTCTACTGAACATATCAAATGTTCTCCCTGGAGTATCAATAACTATGTGCTGCTTCAGTCTGCGTTTTTTGCTTTTCAGGCATCCCTGCCCCATCACTTACTAGTTGTATAACCTTGGGCTAGGCCCTCTGGGTTTCATCAGAACAGGGATTACAGGAACGCTCCCTATGTGGAGGATGCTGGGAAAGCACAGTGCAAGTGGTTAGGAGCTGTCCAAATGTTATTCTTACCTAGGGTTGACAGGACGCCCAGTTAAGTTTCAGACACACAAGTAATAGTTTAAACTTAAAATTTACTTTATATGGGGACATTTTTGTACTAGAACTTATTTATCTGAAATTTAAACTTAGTACCGTCCAGTGCTTTTATTGCTAATTCTGGCAATTCTCTTCTTGCCCCGATGGCGAGGGGCGCATGGAGGAGGGCAGGCCCAGCCCCACTCTCCCCCACTCCCGAAATGGAGAAACTGAGAAACGGCGGGCTGAAGGGCGGACGCCGGGAGGGGGAAGAGAACGAAGGGCTGGGTACAGGAGGACTTCCTCTCGGAGGTGGGCCTGAACGCTGACTCACCGGTGAAACACTCTCTCCTCCCTCCCAGCCGCGCCCCTCCGCACCTCTCACCGCGCAGGCTGGCCCAACCGCCCCGCCCCCGCCCGCGAGCAGGAACTCAACCGCCCCTCCACTCACCGCTACCTAGGGCAGCCGCGGCTCGGGAGGCTCTCCACCGGTACCTCTCAGCCGCCCCCGGCAGCACCGACACCACCCAGGCCGCCGCCGTAGCTGCGGAGCCTGGCTGCCTGCGGATCTGCCGCTGCGTCTCAGATGTCACCCAACTCATCCCTCCTCTCCGTAGAAATCTCTTGTCCGCTTCTGGCCGCCGTCCAGGTCAGAACCAAGAGATAGGCCAATCCGAGCCAGGAATTCGGAGGGGGCGTTATCGCTAAAACCAATCAGAGAGCAGAGCAGGGCGGTGACGCGGATTGGCCAAGCGGGCCGCGTGCCCCCGGGTGTGCTCCCTGCTGCCTCCGCCCATGGGCTCAGGACCTGCTGGGGAGGGGTCTGCGGTCCTCACGCTCCTTAGGCCTCGGGGCGGCCACATCCAAGCGTTCTTCTGTGGTCCTTAGGATTCTTTTTCTCTCATGGCCTCCAGGGCAAAGAACCCTCCATGACCGTTATCTTTAGGGCCTCTGGGGGAAAGAAGGGAGGGGAATTATGGCAGGATATAAAGGGGTGTGGGTAACAATACAGAATTCTATGTTTTCAAGAATGTGAAAAATTTATATTAAAAAAAAATCCTTGCCCTCTTACAGCACTAAACTATGTTTTCTACCTTTATCTTGCATCTACCTACCACTTCAGCATTTTATTAAAAATAAAAATAATAATAATAATAGGAGAAATGTGGGATCAACATATAAATCAAGTACAAAAATCAAATGAATATTCATATTTGACCTGATGGTTTATAGGTCATATTGCATGATCAAAACCGAAAGTTTCTGTGATGAATGCCCTTGTACTGTTCACCATGTAAGAATTTATTCACTCTGTAAAAATTCGTTCACCATGTAAGAACTTGTTCGTTATGCTTCAGAAGATTGGAGACTGACGAGAATTAGGCTTGAGATGGATTAATGATTGTACATTGAGCATTGACCCCCCCATACTGAATTTTATTGTTGTTAACAACCATTTGATCAATAAATATGAGAGATGCCCTCTCAAAAAAAAAAATCCTTCTCTTAGTCATTTCAAAACCGAAATTACAGAATTTTTTAAATGTCAGATATTTTTCTAAAACGATATTTTTAAAATTGAGATATAATTGACATGCTGTGTAATTTTAAGATGTACAATGTATTGATCTGATATTTATATATTGCAATATGATTACCACCTAGGGTTTGCTATCACCCTGTCACATTACATAATTATGTTTTTGTGGTGAGAGCATTTATGATCTAGTCTGTTAGCAACTTTAAAGTATATATTGCAGAATTGCTGACTATAATCACTATGTTGAGAATTTGATCTCCAGAATTTATTTATCTACTAGTTAAGAGTTTGTAGACTATTTTTTACAGCAGTGTTAGATTCACAACGAAATTAAGCAGAAGATGCAGAGATTTCCCATATATTGCCAAAACCCACATAGTCTCCTCCATTATCAACATCCCCCACCAGAGTGGTACATTTGTTATAAGCGATGAACATACAGTAACACAGCATAGTCATTGAAAGTCCATAGTTTACATCAGAGTGCATTGTTGGTGGTGTACTTTCATGAGTTTAGACACATTTATTGTGATACATGTCTACCATTATAAAGAGTAGTTTCACTGTCCTAAAAATCCTTTGTTTTCTGCCTAGTCATTCTTCTCTCCCCCATAACCCTCGGTGACCACTGGTATTTTTAATTGTCTATAGTTTGCCTTTTCTGGAATGTCATACAGCTGGAATCATACAGTAAGCAGTCTTATCAGATTGACTTATTTCACTTAGTAATAATGCATGTAAGTTTCCTCCATGTCTTTTCATGGTTTAAGAGCTCATTTTTTCTAGTGCCGAATAATATTCCAGTGTCTAGATGTACCAGTTTACCCATTTCACCTGTTGAAGGGCATCTTGGTTGCTTCCACATTCTGGCAATTATAAATAAGACTGTTATGAACACATGTGTAGGTTTTTGTATGGATGTAAGTTTTCAGCTCTTTTGGATAAACACCAAGGAGCATGACTGCTGGATTGTATGATAAGAATACGTTTAATTTTGTAAGAATCTTCCAATTATCTTCCAAAGTGGCTGTACCATTTTGCATTTCCCCCAGCAATGAGTGAGGGTTCTTGTTGCCTCACATCCTTGCCAGCATTTGAGTTGTTGGTGTTTGGGATTTTGGCCATTCTCATACGTATGTAGTGACATGTCATTGTCATTTTAGTTTTCATTTCCCTGATGACATATAATGTGGAGTATCTTTTCACATGTTTATTTGTCATCTCTATATCTTCCTTGATGAAGTATTTGGCTTTTCTTACAGTTGAGTTTCAGTTCTTTCTATATTTCAGATAACAATCTTATAGCAGATACATCTTTTGTAAATATTTTCTCCCAGTCTGCTGCTTTTCCTTTCATTCTCTAGTGTCTTTAACACAACAGAAAATCTTAATTTTAATAAAGTCTAGCTTATCAATTCTTTCTTTCATGGATCTGCCTTTGGTGTTGTACCTAAAACATCTTCACCAAACCCAAGGTCATAGAGGTTTCATCCTATGTTATCTTCTTTGAGTTTTATAGTTTTGTGTTTTAGATTTAGATCTGTGATCCATTTGAGTTAATCTTTGTGAAGGGCATAGGGTCTGTGTCCAGATTCATTATTAGACATGTGGATGTCCAGTTGTTCTAGCACCATCTGTTGACAAAAACTATCCTTGCTCCATTGTATGGTTTTTGCTATTTTGTCAAAGATCAATCATGTATATTAACATAGGTCTATTTCTGAGCATTCTATTATTTTTCCATTGATCTGTCTCTTTATTTGCTAATACCACACTTTCTTGATTACTGTACCTTTATAGTAAATCTTGAAGTTGGGTAGTGTCAGTCTACCAACTTTATTCTTTTTCAATTTTGTGTTTGTTGGCTATTATTGATCTTTCGTCTCTCCATCTAAACTTCAGGATCAGTTTTTCAATATTCACAAAATAACTTACTGGGACTTTGGCTGGGATTGCATTGAATCGATAGATCAAGTTGGGAAGAAATGATATTGACTGAGAGTGCTTGGTACAACTCCTGAGAGTAAAACTCAAAAAAGTCTCCCCCCCTCTGCATGACTGGGTCCCTCCCCCACCCTCACTGGAGTTGTCTCTCAAACTCTTCCACACTGAGCCTCCAACAATTCTTCAATCACATTTCAGGTTTCCCTGCCCTGGCACTGGTTCCTGCTGAGGCTGCTACTTGTGGGTTTCTGTAAGTACATAGTGATTCTCTGTATTTGCCTGTCAGTCTCTCCAATTTGGGGGCAGCAGTTTGCCCTGTGACCTCATGTCTCTTACACATTTGAGAAGAGCTGTTGATTTTCCAGTTTGTTCAGCCTTTTGCTTCTTGTTAGGATGGAGTGGAAACTTCTAAGCTTCTTTCATGCTGAAATGGAAACTGGGAGTCCCAGAGCATTTTGAAAATAAAGATAAAGCACTGCATATTAGTGCCTATGGGATACCTGAAATCAGGGCTCAAAAGAAAAATATGCAATAAAAGTAAATTAAACTCCCAATAAAGAATTTCTAGTTTTTCAGTTAGAAAAAATTAACAAATTAATCTTAAGGAAAGCAGAAGGAAGGGATTAGAGAGGATAAAAAAAGCAATTCATAAATTAGAAAATAGAAATGGGAATACTAATAAATATAAGATTTGAAAAAAGCAATGATAGAATGGATAGTTGGCTAGCCTAGTCAAGAAACAAAGAGAGGAAGCACAGCCAAAATACAAAATAAGGGGAAATAACTACAGATTAAAAAAATTAATAGAATTGTATGGGAGTACTTTATTCCATTCTATGAAATAAATTTGAAAACCTGGATGAAATGGATGAAATTCCAAGAAAATATAATTTATCAAAATATCCCAAAAGGATAGAAATTCTAATAGGCCAGTTACCATAAAAGAAATGTCAGAGAACTGTATTTTCCCACCCCTCCATCTATGAAAGCACCAGGCCTATATTATTTCACAGGAGAATTCTACTGAACTTTAAGGAATAGATGAGTTGGTAGCTATTGATTCTATCTTGAGCACAGAAAGAAGGAAACCTTCCAAATTCTATTGATGATGTGAGTATAAGACTGGTAAGAAAATTTAGTTAATAAAACACATATATGTAATATACATACACATTCACATTGACCTTAGAAATAAAGTATCCTTATATGGACCCACATAAATACAGTCAACTGATCTTTGATAAAGAAGCAAAGGGAATTCAATGGAAAAAAGGTAGTTTTTTCAACAAGTGATGCCGGAAAAACTGGACAGCCACATGCAAAATAATGAATCTAAACACTAACTTTATACCTTTCATGATAATTATCTCAAAATGGATCATAGACCTAAATGGAAAACACAAAATTATAAAACTTCCAGAAAAAATGTAGGAGAAAATCTAGGTGAACTTGGGTTTGGCCGTGACTTTCAGATAAAAAACCAAAAGCATAATCCATGAAACAAAAATTGGTAAATTGTTCTTCATTAAAATTAGAAAGTTCTGCTTTGCAAAAGACATTGTTAAGAGAATAACAACACAAGACACAGACTGGGAGAAAATGTCTGCAAAACACATATCTGATAAAGGACTTGAGTTCAAAATATACAAAGAACTCTTAAAACTCAACAATAAGAAAACAAACAACCTAATTAAAAAGTGGACAGACACCTCACCAAAGAAGACATACAGATAAGCATACAAAAAGTTGCTCAACATCATACATCAGTAGGTGATTGTAAATTTAAACTAATATGAGGTATCATGATATACCCATTAAAACGACCAAAATCCAAAACACTGATAACACCAAATGCTGGTTTGGATGTGGAGCAATAAGAACTCCATTCATTGCTGGTGGGAATATAAATGGTTTTACAAGATAGTTTGTAGTTTCTTACAAAGGTAGACATAGTCTTACCACACAATCCAGCATAGCATTCAAGTGAGTGAAAATTTATGTCCATAAAAAAATCCTGTGTACGAATGTTTATAGCGGCTTTACTCATAATTGCCTCCAAAAATTACCCCAAGGATATCTTGAAAACAACCAAGATATCCTTTGGTATAAACAAACTGTGGTACCTCCATACAGTGGAATACTAGAGCTACTATTCAGTGAT